TTTTTTTTTTTGTTTTGTTTCTGATGGGAGAAAGTTGCTTGTGTTGGACCACTGAAAAAAATACTAATTAACAATTTTGGAAGGAAAAATTTGGGAACAACATTGACACATCTAATAACATGGACTTACAAAAGAATGGCGTGAAATTAGCGAAGCCTTAGTAGTTTCATAATTAGTGACTTATGGTTATTCCAAGTTCAGACTAAAGATACAATTGTACTGTTGGAGGCAGTAAAAAAAAGAGTAAATATTATGTATGTATTTTACAAGTACTAATGTGCAACACAGATTGTATTAACAAAACTATTAAGAAAAGATATACTGTATAATAACAAATGTTAATATTAATTGAATTACAATATATTTATAATCACGTAGTCACGTAATATTAAATATATAGTAATCTCAGTGTATATCTCAGTATATTGTACTTAATATTTAAATGTAACTTTCGTCATTGAGGCATCCAACAGTATAATTATTAAAACAAAGCAGTATTTCAACATTTTCGATAGTGTAATATTTTTTATGATAGTTTGTAGGGGATAGTATCTATATATATATAGTTTTGATAATGTAATACTTACAATGTGAATTTTATTTCTGTGGAAAATAAGAAACGCGTCTCTTCTTTATAGCAGTCTTACAGCAGTAAGTTCTTAGAACTTGATTTTAAAATGAGTGGTGCATTGAAAAAGTTCCTAGAATGATACTGTTGTAGGAAGTTGTACATGCAGATAAACTTTTATTACTCAACGTCGTAGTTTATTAACCAGTAGAACCTCTGGATGCACCTATCTGGGAAATTCTTTTTCTGAAGTATCATTCAAAATTATTGTCACTTTGCTATGCAAATTCTCTATTCAGCAACTGACTTCTTGTCACGTGATAGTATTCTTTATTTACAAATTTCGTATGATGTGTTCTGCAGGCGAACTTCGTGGCGAACCTGTTCGAAGACCAGAGCCATTGCTTAATAGAAGAGAAACACCATGCAACCGATTACGAGACAGGGGCTGGAACACAGGTGAATAATGGCTCTACTAATCGCAACTGTTGACCTAACGAGCTAGCTCTTCGCTTGCTGACCACACCAAGACCGTGACTCGTCTTCTAGTTGCCTCTGGGAAGCTAGTTCTGCTCTTAGGGAACAAAAG